TTTAACAACCGCCACGGACTATGCAATGTGTTTGACAATCCATTCGGAAAACGTCAGCCGTGTAGATTTGTACTAGTCTATGAATCAGAGTGCCCCATGCTGAGGCTGATGTCGCATTCTTGATGCTTCTTCACCGCAGTTGGGCTAAAGCAACTTACACTTAAACTAGGTCTTTGTAATGTGGATAAAATTCATTACATTTTATTTGGTTTGTTCTGCGTACTTGATTACCTTCTCCCAACTTACACACGTCGCTCATGCAAATTGTGGTAAACTTGCGTAATTTTCTCGCGTGGTATGTTTTAAATAACTTTCGGACATTTTGTACGTATCGCGTATTTACATTTAACCACTCTTCCATATGCTCATTCAGCGAGTATCTATGTCGTCATATGCGTTTACTTTATTCGATATCGGCATTTCGAATGATTGGCTGTTGTTTGACATCCCAGGTGTGGCTGCGCTTCATGTGCATGTTGACAAGGTGCTTACCTGTCTATTACCCACTACATCGTTCATACTGGCTCCAGGAGACAGTTGGTCGTTGCTGGAGGGGACAGGGTGCACGGTCCTTGTGGCCGTGTTAGGATCAAAGAGTGGTTCCATGCAGTCAGTGTGGAGCGGACTACGGTCCAGCCACCGCCTTGTGTGCGTTTGATTCCCCAAATACAGCGTGCTTGTGTTTGCCTGTGAAGGAGTGTGGGCGGGCTCCGTTGATGAAACGTGGCTCCCATCCGCATGCCTCCCTTATTCCTTCGGGTTTACACTGGATATGGGGTGTGTGGATGGAGCTGTGGGTGATGCAGCGCAAGCCACCCATGGTCCCTCTGTAGGCGCAGGCGTCCTGTGGCTGGCCACAGTGACAGGCAAATCCGAAACCGGATGCCGCCAACCATGAGTCAGAACCTGGGGCTTTCCTCTTACGAGGCAGTGACTTACATCCGTAAGCTACTGTGAGGCGTTTCAATGAAATAGGTAGCTGTGATAAGGTACCACTAATTCCGCACTGCCGTGTAAGGAGGGCAAATGTATCACAATTTTGTTTCTGAACCAATAGCAAGTGCATAGTGATGAAACTAGTTAAAGTAATAATGGCGTCAATAGAAAAGCAAATGAACCGGACCATGTTTCCTGGATATGCTACGTCAGCATTTTACATATACTGATAATCAGAACCCCATCAGAAAGCTCTGGACAGCTGCTGTGAAAGGCAGAAATAGATTGTCTTTATGTTTTCAAGCTAGACAAAGCATGTTATAAAGTCTGAAAGAATAAGTTGAAGTTTGCTGTTTGTCTGAAGGCTAGTTTGGGAATCGCAGTAACGGGACACCCGAAAGCGATCATACAATACCGATCCCAGACATCTTCACGATTTTATTAATATTCGTTAGTTCTTGGCTAGTGGACTGCGTCTTTTCAAACTCTTAAAGCTGACAAATGATTCCATCTTGGATAACCCTCCATTAATGTAAAATCCAAACACCCATCGCTTCTGCTCGCGCGGAAGGCGCCATTTGCAGTGAAAACAAAACTCACTTCGTTAAGTTTATCTCAGGTAAAAACGTGTCGGTTTTCACGTTATTTTGAAACGGTCTCACTACCAAAATATTTCACCTGCGTGATAGAAACCGTTTAGTTTTATCTTCACGGAAAACTGTTACACTAACGTCAACTCAAAGTGTAAGTATTTTCGTAGCTTCGTCAACTAGTCCATTCGTTTCGCTGACAGGAACTCGTGTTTCTTATTCTCCCGTATACGAATAGCGTTGAAACATGAGCGTCGGCAAACTTGCTTCTATCCTATAACACTAATTCAGCCATCTGTTTTGCAAAACGGGTGATGTAAAAATAAGCCCCACATACTGCACTTTCTGCTCGCTTACTGTGGAACCAAGTTAGACAAAAGAAATTTTGTATTCAGAAACCTGTTCTGAAGTAAAGACAGTTTTCGATATTGCCTTCCCAGTGAGACAGTAGTTTAAAAGAATATGTACTGGTTGTAATGTGTATTGGTTTCATCACGCATTATTCCCTCACAAACTTCAACAAATGCCCGCGATTTTCATGGGCTGATCTACTTGTGTATTGGCCATACTTGTGTATTGGCTGTGGAATCGAAGATGTGGTCAAAAGCCCTTTAGCAAAAGCAAGAGGCGCTTTTGCTAACCTTCGCCACGTATTACGCCGGCATGATATCACGCTCTCCCTGAAGCATATAGCGTACAGGACAGCTGTACATTGCATCCTACTGTAAGGTAGTGAAACCTAACTAATTAAATCGACAGACATAAAGTGGCTGGTTATGCTCGACAAACCGGTGCCTTTGCAGTTTGGCTCATATATGGTGGGGACACCGGATGTGAGCAATGAGTGTGTTCGGCGCCTTGTTTTTGGCGCAGGAAGAAGAAGCGAACCGCTCAGCATCGTTATTTCACGTACCAGGCTCCGACAGCTGGGCCACGTGTTACGCATGCCAGTCCACCTACTCATGCGATGTGCGTTGTTTGCGTTTCAGTAGTGCTGATGAAAGAAGAGGAGGGGTGATCAAGAGGAATGAAGGCCCTTACTTTGAAGTTGATCTCAGTCAGAGCCTCCCAGCACCCTTGTTGAAGTCTGAAAGATGATGAAAAAGTTTGGATGCACTAGTTGACATGGCAAGGCGCCGACCTCCGTGGTGTTTGTGTTGTATTTCTTTGTCCCTCACCCTCCTACTTTACCTTCCCGTCCAACTGCGATCCTAATATTTTGCGGTGCATTGGCGGACTGCATGCCCACCAGGACGATGTACATCCGTTAGTGTTGGCTCAGCTAGCGTGCTTCTGTTCCACGTGTTTCTTCTTCTTCGTATGTATTGCGGCACAATAGCTAAAGTGTTTCCCCCTCTCGCTAATGTGTATAATTAATAAATTTACTAGCTGACTAATGCCACGCAGTAGGCGTCAGACAAGGTGAGGATTCTATACCAAGGGACTAGCCAGCTAAAAGCTGCACGACAGACGAACCGTTGGTATGTTCATAACATTATATATTCCTGTTGTGTTATCAAGCTGTGCAAATAGATGCATTTCAGCGCGTTAGCGCACAATTTCTGGGTCTGAACAAAAAATAGTCGTTTGCTAGCTATGTCTCATTTTCGTCAGATATCCCCATCACCACCAGTTACAGAAGATGGTGTTGATAGACTGTGGCAACAATGTGACACTGCATGTATTGCAATGCTGGACGACCACCATGGTATGTCTAATCAAGGAGATTCGTGAACCGCTTGACCCTCATCGATGGTACGCGCGAAGTATTGTTTACATTTGGTGAGAGCACCGTACGGGGTTTGCCAGCATAAGCCAGTTGACGAATTACAATTGCAATATGCCGTCGTCCGACCATGAAACGGTTGTGTTCGGTAACTGGTAGTTTTCTTGTCTTCTTAATCACTGACCCCTACGTATGCATTCTGTTGATGTCCAGACGATTTCTCCGGTAAGTCACTGAAAACTAGGACGTTAAAGCTAGGGTCAACCTACTCTCGATTGGTCCACACCAAGTTGGCCCAGGAAGAAGCCTTAATGATCCTCAAACAGCTTAAGTAACGCGTTTATTTTTGCTAGGTAGCGTCGCTCTTACATTACGCTTTATCAAGCTTTGTACACAAATTAAGCGCTTTAGACCTTTCGATCCTGTGTATTGTCTGCTTGTTTGATTACTTATTGTTTTCACCCTCTAGTCTGCATTCATTCAATTTTTGTCCTCACATTTGCTAGACTAGATTCGCGAATGTCAACTTGGAGTGAGCCACCAGATAGCATAACTGGTTGGTTGCTCGTGCCGATTGGCACCAACTCGGCCGGAACCATGATTTTATCATATGAGTCAAAGGATTAAGATTGCAGGTCCTAATGCCCTAAGGGGTAAATCGATCGAACACGGATGACTGGACATGAGGGGCGGTGGGGCCATCATGGGGAACTTCAAAAGGCTGACAACGGGCTGACAAATGTCATGATAACTAAGTCTACTATAATTGGATGATCAGATCACAATCAGCTAACCGAACCCAACTTTTCGGTTGGCAATTACGATTCCCCTAGTAGTTATCTTAATACCACTTATGACGGAGGAACGGGTTCAATTGCCTCACGTCACGTCATAGTGATGGTATTACATATCATTAATCTAGTATTTCCTTTACTATGGAGATCCTGTCTCGTGCTTAGCCACATGCATACAAGCTGATAACTACTTGCCTATTATAGAATTTGATTCACGTTGCTAGATACACGGTGTTTAACTTGAATGATGAACGAGTCTGGCGTTTCTATTCAACCTACATTCTATTATTTAAAGATGCTGTAAAATTGGACTTAATTGTCAGTGCTGTAGCTTGAATATCCTCTAAAGATCATACCACCCAATTTATTGAAGCTGACGGGACTTAAACGTTGTGCTCCTCATAAGAGTTGCTCAGCCTCTTCGAGTAGTTGACTGTGGTTACCCCTACCTTAAGTGTTAGAAACAGCTTGCACATAACAGTAAGTATATCTGCAAAGTGTATGACGGTGAATTAAATCAGATAACTAAACTCTTCGCCACTTAAAACTTTCTCATCTTCTAACAGATTTCAGCCACGCTCAGCGCCAATTCTCAGGCAGAAAAACTCTCGGGGGCTTAAAGTATGGATTAGAGTCCCCGTAGGCGAGCTCAACGACTAGTATTAGGCCATGTACTTTACCATGTGCTAAGCTTATCGATTGCACACCGAATTCCAACGAATACGCACCCGTCAATCACACTCTTGTATCAGGGAACAAGATCCAATGTGTCACGAGTAGACGAAGGAATGAAAGTGAAACGGTGATCTGTGGGAAACAATCCACTTACTTGCCACGAGAGATGTGGGTCTCAGACATTATATTCAAGTTGATCACAGAGGAGGTACACTAAAAAGAATCTTGAAGGAGTCCAGTGTTAAGATTTTCAGAACGTTCATGGAAAAATAGAAAGTTGGGATCTTAATCAGTGGCAGCACCGTAAGATGATGTCAACTAATGATAAGCGGATTTCGCACGGAAAATATACAGGATCTGATGGGGTATCTGTATATAACATGGATGGCTTAAAGGCATTAAGTACAGGGCCGTTTTGATAGCGCCAAATAGAAATGGATCTGGGCTCGTGATGGGTAATGGTTTACATCTGTCATCTGCATTGGTTGAGCACACCACACCTCCTGCAGGCGGCCGAGAAGCCTTGATCCACACGCACAAACGACGAACTAACGGGATGTGCCGGAGCACAGGTGCGCTGAAATGAATAACACATCAGGTCATAATAAAGGATATGGAAAGAGACTTTCTCCATCAGCTTAGTCATTAGAACTAAACTCAGGCCAAACAGTATGTCTGTTTCACGTACACATGTGAGGGAAAACGTGGATAGAAACGCCGTAGAGAGAACTACGAGCGATTGATAATTTCCTACAGTAACGAAAGATGATGACGTAGGATCTGGAAAAGGTGCGCTTGACAACCTTATTGACAGTAGACCGTGATCACAATTTAGTTCAGGCTGTGAGGTTTGTGTACGGTCAACGGCTGGAGTTGTACATATCTAAGTATATGCGACGAGATTTAGACTGTGCTTTTGAGTTATCAAGCTTAAATCCGCTTCCGTCTAACATGGACAAGTGCAAAACCGTGCACGCCCGGCACAAGCCCACACAGGCATATATGCTTGGAGACGACATTCTGAAAACCGCCTCATAAGAATGTGACCTTGGTGTAGTAATACAAAATAAACGCGCCTGCTCGACGCAGTCCTTGAAGACGATGCATTGTCTCACTTACATTTCAGTTTATGACTTGTTAGCCAAGGGCTACAAAACGCAATCAAACGGTGTCTTACCAAACGCCTAACCAATGCATTGATGGATTTGTGCGTTTAATACGCGAACATCTCCGTTATTCCACATAAGCCTATGGTGAGTCCACCACAACGCTTTTCACTTTATTATGCAATTCATTTTCACAATAATTTCCATCCCACGGGACTGGTTAAGCGATGCTTTTTTACCCGTAATAAACCATTGTTAAATTGTCCGAAACCGCGAACCAAGATGTTGGTCTGTTACGGAGGGCCTTCGAAAGGTCCGATCCATCCATCTTCGCCCAATTGCCCAATGAGTATGTGCGGTCCCATGTAGAGTGCGCAATGCAGGATTGACAACCCTGGTGTCCTCGGAATCATGGCTGAATAGAAAAACAGTATGAATAATAAGAAAATAACAACGACAAATGCTGTTTAGTCCAGTTTGCGACTCACAGTTTTTGAACCATTTTTCAGTTTTTTTTAGGGAGAGGAAGCTGGGACACCGCAACACACCGATTCACACGTCGGCCACTGACATCGATCTTGAGCCATAGCTTCCAAGATCTTTAACCAGCAAGTATCCCCATCTCTCGGACGCCAACCAGGTAGTCGACAACAACCGGCTGAGGCCAACTGTTTCGTCAGCTTTTTCATGCGGTTTCTTCAAGTTGCAGGCTGTCCACCAGACCGTCTCTTACAGCCCTGTCCAACAACCGCAAGGGCACGATGTGCGTAACGCTGAAAAGGCATGTGCAATACGTGTCCCAACCACCGCAGTTGATGCAGTGAGACGAGCTCCTCCAGCGAGTGGCTTCTTCGTCCCAAGACACGCTGTCTAACTTCCACATTGCTTACGTGGTGCCGCCACCACACACGCGCAATAGACCGCAGACAGCGGTGGCTGCGCAAGTCAGCTTTAGGAATGGACCAGGTCTCGCATCCGTACAACAACAGTACAGCACAAACGGTTGCACAATAGACCCGCCCTCTGATGGAGAGACGAATGTCGTGGCAACGCCACAAGCGCCTCAGCTTAGAAAAAGGGAGGCGTGCTCTCGAGATGCGCATCGAAATCTCGTCTCCAATAGCCTCGCCAGCAGTGATGCAACTTCTCAAGTAGACAAAGCCCTCCATAATCTCCAGTGTCTCGCCACCATTAGTGAGTGTAGGCACAGGTACCTGCCAGTGTTGAAAGACAGCCTTGCATTTGGATGACGAAAAGTACATACCATACTTTGATGCTTCAATCGCCAAGCGGTTTACTGCAAGTTGGACGACCTGTGGATCGTCACCCAGCAAGACGATACCATCAGCATAGTCCAAAACAATAACTCGACCACCTGGGAGGAGCTCAAGGCCAGGGTCCAACGAACCGCCCAGAGCGTTCTTTAGGACATGCTCAATGGCAAAGTTGAATAGGAACAGAGAGATAGGGTATCCTTATCGAACCCCATTGGAGGTCACAAAGGAGGGCGAAAGATTGGCTGAGGTCAGACCATAGACATCGCGCAGTATGTATACGAGCTGCGCAGGGACGTCATTCCTCAGAAGACAGTGCCACAGTACCGTCCGATCAACAGAAAAGGCTGCATGGATATCCAAGAACACAGCAATCGTTGGTTTCTGAGATAGATGGCGGAGCTCGAGAATCTGGCGAAGTGTGAAAATTTGAGCAATGCAGCCGCGATCAGGGCGAAACCCAGCTTGTTCATCTCGCTGCAACGATTTGCGCGTTAGGGATAGCCTGCGAAGTATGATGGACATCAGCAGCTTGAAAACGACAGGGACTAAGCTTATGACATTGTAGTTGAAGCAGATTAGGCGCGGGCTCTTTTAGAAGATGGGGATGATTATCGATTCACCTCAAGATGCTAAAACTTCGTCTTTCGACCAAACTTCGGAGAACAAAGCGGTGAGTTCTCAAACCTGCGAAGCGCCACCATGTTTACCTAGAGCTGGAAGAAGACCATCAGGGCAAGGGGCTTCATAACGTTTTATGTGGCGCAGTGTCTGCCCGATTTCCTGGTAAGAAGGAGGATCTGTGGCGGTAAACCACTCGGCACCAGTGGGAGCACCAGAGTTAGCAGATGCAGCTGTGGGTTAACAAAACTGCAAGCCAAAATGTTCGACCCAACGCTTCAACCGTCCTTTAAGATTGGTGATTAAGGTGCCATTCTCCTCACATATTGTTTCACTTATACGAGATCGAACACGCTCGGTGACTCGAATGAGATGGAATAGTTCTCTGGGATTACAAGAGACTAAAAGGCTCCATGTCCCTAGCACGTACACAGCACCAAGCTTCGCGGTCCATTTACAAACGCCTGCGCAACTCTCGATCCAGGGATTGGTGTACTTTATTGTGTCTGGAATCCGAAAGGATCAGGCGATGTTTGTCCATCAGCGACAAGGAGACGGTGGAAATCCAATGCTTCGGTGGGTGACGGGCAACTCCACAAGTGTCGATACTGGCGGAAACTAAGGTATCTTACATATGCACCCACTGAGAATCGAGCTCACCGTCAATAGTTGAGCCAAGCAATGTTGACAGTGAGGATTGGTACTTGGTTAACATCGCAGGGTTTTGTAGATTTGCGACGCCGGTTGGTAGTGAGAACGCTTAGGTGATCCTAAGAAAATCATGCAAATCTCAGCACGAACCAATGCGTGATCAGAGACTATAAAGGTTGACAAGTACGATCGGCAGTCCGTTACGCTTCCGCGCCATCTGTAGCTGATTGCTATGTGGTCAAGCTGGGAGCACTCTTGCGTTTGTGAGGGCGGGCGCCAGGTAGCAGTGTGTCTCTTCGAGTGCCGAAAACTAATGCTCGAAAGGTAGAAGCGATGATCAGAGCAAAGAGTAAGCAGTCTGACTCCATTGTCTGATCGACTGCCATCGAGACCAAAACTAACCGCAAGATGGTGCTCGCTTGGTGAAAAACGTTAAAATCCCCCTCAAAAATGACCTTATCAGTCATATTGGATGAACGAAGAAGTTCATGTAGCTGCTGGTGAAAGCTATCTTTAACTGCATCCGGGTTGCAGCCTGTTGAGGCGTAGGCGGAGACGACAAACAAGGCACGCTTAACACCTCAACGCCTGCTTACATTATGTGAACCTCTTAATCGGACTGCGCATAGTCGACTGTTGACTGGGATCCAGTCAAGCAGAGCTGATTTAGCCTTGGCACTCAGTGTAACCCCAAAACCAGCTTGGCCAAAAACTGCAGCTTCTGGGTCGCCGGAAAGCCGCAAGTGGTATTTGGCCTCAGGGTTTACCGGAGAGGCCATTCTGATGCCGGCGCTAGAGTCTTGTAATCTGGTCATTGAAACTCAACACATTGCTATCGAAAGCGTTTCAAGAGTACGAGTCAGACATGCATGTCGTCTGATCTGCATTAAAGTTCGAACACTAAACGCTGCGAGGAAGAATGAAGAACCGGGTAGAAAAGAAGCTGCAGCTTCGGTGGAGTGAGAGACGGTTGCGATCGCAGGACATTGAAAACCGGGTGTTTGGCTGTCACTTCCATCAGTTGCGAGGCATGGTACGTTTGTGCCGGTGACCGAAGAAGATATGACTCCATATAGGTGAAGGACGGGAGGTGGGGTGATCGGTGAGTGGAGGTTGTGGAGTTGAGTTAGCAGAGATGATAGGCATAGTAAAAGCAGTGTGGTCCGTGATTCGACAATGGGCGTGATACTACCCGGTTGCCCAGGCCGAAGTGGAGGGTCGTCTTAGGCGACCCCACTCCGAACCTTTGATCAAAGATCTAAACCTACAAAGCAGAGCGATGTGAGGGAGTCGCAATCCGTTGGGAGCCGGTGACCAAATAGATGGTTCATGCGTCTTTCAGTCCGTGAAGGACCAAGGGCCCAGCGCACCCTTGAAGTACAATGCCTGTCAGGGAGGGGTTAGGGGCATTGACTTTATGTAGTCGCGAGTCAAATCCGCCATGTCGCAGTGTCGTTAAACGAACATTGGTGACATTTTATTGGGAGAACGCTTGCCAGGCGAAAACCCACTACGTCCTGGAACACTGCCGCCGAAACATTTTCTGGAAAGGGAAATATCCGAACCACCCAGCTGGCACCACGAGAAGGTTGTTCGGCAAACCAACCGGAGACGGCACAGCGACGGGTAACATAACGTTGAAGGGTTTGTCCCACCTGCAATACCATAGGCGACTGAAAACCCTGGGAGTGTATGGCGGAAGATATCACCGTCTACGTAGTTACCTCATCCTGGCGTTCCAGATTTTGCAAAACCCCGGTCACGCTTGCCGCCGTCTCCTGAAGCTTAGCTGCAACATAGCATTGAGGGGTCATAAATTGAAACATGCCACCCAACACAGTCGGCTGGAGTGCCGCCGGAATTATTTTTCCCTTCGAGTTTATCACCCGTGGAACGCTCTTTCGACTTTTGTCATTTCAGCGCCCATGCTACCCATTTTTTTAAAAATGACTCGACGATGGTTTACATCATTTATATTACTTGCTCTGATTTAGATTCATTGAATAACGACAAGACGCAGACAAACATTGTGTTCACCAACCCCACGAAATCGGGTTAGACCGAGGTACCTATGTGTTAACGTGGATAATATGATGAGTCCACAGATGGCTTTTTCCCTTTTGTGCAAATTCATTGAAATAAAGTTATTCCCACAAACTAATCCACTGGATTTGTCAAGCCTTGGATTTTTTATCCACACTATACCCTTGTTTCATTGTTCCACGGAAGAACAGACATAGAGTCAGTTAAAAGTATGAGCATAAAAACAGAGCGGCAGATCCAGATTTATAAGAGGGAACCAAAATAACTTTTGCTAGTTTTGTTAATCACAGGCCCTGAACATCCTAAGTTAAAATTTAGGCTCGCAATTTTTCCCCTCTTTCGGCTGCCCGACAAATCTTTCGACGTCACAGGATGGCGTACTGTGTTTCTTTGCCTATCTAGAGATCCAGCAATATATATTTGAAGCAAAGGTAAAGAATCAGCTAGCGGAACCTGAAGCCTGTTTCGTAAATTTTTGCGTCAAGACTAAGTGATCGTAAAGTGAGTAGGGGGCACAAACATGAGGGAAGCGGAGAACAAAGTGTACGCTATGGAAAAGACATAAGTACTTGCTTTTTATAGCGGATGTGCACAAAGTATTTCCTATAGGTAGTGATGCTACAATATCTGTATGAGCGTCCATCCCTTTACGCTAGATGGCGGGATTTTTGGTCAAATCCTGACGAATAGTTTAGCCGAACTACAGTGACTTCGTGGGATACTTCTCCCCCATATGCTTCGCGCCACATTGGGCGTCGCTTTTCCCGAATACGCCTGGCTTGCACATCCTTATCATACCCCAGACATGAAGAAGCTGACCAAATGAGCAAATAAGTTTTGGGTGAGCAGCAAAAGTAGTTCTCAGTAAGCAGTACATAACTCAGAAAGAAGTGCATATCTACTCACTCTGACTTAAATGCCTATGCTTCAGAACAATCTTTCGCAAACAATTAATTTTGTTCGTCTCACCTATGCCTACCGCAACAGCTTTATTTTCTTACTTTGCTCCATTAAGACAAATTTCTTATTAGCATTAAAAGCTAGTACTGCGTACCAAGGCTAAAGCAAAGCGATGCTCAGAACAAATTTCACAAGCTGGACTAGACAGTCACTGGACAAACTGCTTACTATAAAAACGAAAGATTTTGATACGTGCTTACGTGGATGATATGTTGAGTGCTTCTCAGGCAGTCAGATAGCACAGCTATGAAGTTTTTCTCTAGAAACTGGTACATTTTGTTAACCGACCTCGTCACCTCCCATTGATAATCAACCAGATCCTTCCGAGCGCAATTGTACACCTGTGAGGGCAAGAGGATATGAACACGAGCTAGGCAACGAAGAAAACGATTTGCCTAGGCGGTTAATTTACATTGATGGCAGAAATCTGATTTATCAATGTAACTTCGTAGATAGTTGGCAAAAACCGGTTGGAGTCTTAATTTGATCCGCTCACTGACTATCTAGAAATTATGGTGCATAACTACTAAAACTAGTCGATTTCTTGGTAACAGCAAACATGTTTACCTAGCAAAATTAGTATCCTTACGACATTCACCTGGTAGCAAGGCTACTGAAAAGCTGGTGTATGTTTCGTTGCAGGCTGGCATTTGAGCTTCGGCTGGAGGCAGCGATCGATATGCCCTCCAGAGTTGGTATGTCACCCAAAGAACCAAACGCCATGCGAACTATCGCGCACCAGCATTGTGTCTGATGAGCTATACAACCTGACGATAACGTGAATGACCAGACATCTTACTCTGTACGTAAAAGGTTGGGTCTGAGACATACAATGCAGCCGATGAATAAGATGTCGAACCAGTCGTCAAGTACCCAAGGAAAAACGATTAGTCGCCGACCACTCACTGGTCGGTGAAACTTCACGTCTGAATTGCACAATCTCCATCGTATTGCGGAAATCCAAGAAACTTTCATGTATGTACACAAATACCCTACGGAGTTCCTCAGTAAACTTACCGAACTTCGAGTGCGTCAGTCTTGAATCCTTAAGACCTACTTGCCTTTACTGAAACCTGGTTGCACCAAGACGTTGCTGATGCTGAGCTCCAGCTTGCAGGGACGTCAATTATTCGGAACATTTCCGTCGGAGAAGGTGGGGTCCTTCAGTATGACCGCAGGGAACTGCAACGTGCAATAGTTGATGGTCTGGAAAGTCATTTCACCGAGCAATTCCGGTGCTTTATCCGACAAAGACACAACGACGCATATCTAGTAGCTGTCGTTTACAGTCCACAGCATCCACTCCGGAAATAAATTCCAGCTTGGTACACGCTTAAAACCGTGTAAAACTCCCTAAGTACAGCCACAATATCATCGCCAATGACCTCAATCTACACAATCTGGAGGTATCGGCCTCTTGCAAAGAGCAGTTCAAAGCAGATGTGCTAATATTCCCTTATACAATCATGTCATCTCACCCACTAGATGCAGGAAAGCAAACAAACTTTTTGCTCACAGATGAAGAGCTCATGGTCAACAAGTTACTGATGGAGAGCGCATTATATCTCAGCTATGCAGAGTATGCATCTGGACACTCGGAATCAACTTTTACAATCACACTCTAAGACGTCCTGAAAGAATTCAGCAAGCCATTCGCTTGGAAATTTTCTAACAGCATTCCTTTTGAAAACGTCTGAACAGAGTTGGTGGAAAGACTCAGTGGCATGGTCAACATGGCATCAGAAATAAAACCCTTTCGTATCTCAAAAACGCCGTCAATTATCAAAGGCAGAACTTATATATATATATATATATATATATATATATATATATATCTGGCAATAAGGGATGCAGCCTAGTGTGTATATAAGGCTAAGCCCGACACAGACTTGGGGCAATTTCTTGACCCACCGCAACCACTGCACCACAATTTGTCTGCGAGGGAAAAGCAACTTATTAGCTGTGCCTAGAAAAACAATTTCTAGCAAACAACAAACTAGTTTATAGGCCTGTCAGCAGCCTTCGTAAAGTAGGGTAGGGTACAAAGCTCCGACGAAGGAGCCAACTTCTTCAGAGCTTTCGGCCGCCTGGATCGCAGCATCGTACTTCACAGGATAAAGTGTTAGGGAATCTGAAATGCTGTTCTTGGTTGGATATTAAACCCTTCAACAACTGAGGCTTCAAATGTGTGTAAAGAGATTGCTCTCCAACCCGATTGATCTAAAATGTGATGTTCCACCGGGCTCAGTGTTGGGACCGCGCTTATTCCTGGTGTTTATGAACGACCTGGTAAGAGTTACCTCGTTCGATTTCCTGCTTTCCGCCGATGATATTAAAATATGGCGAGCGACTAATAGCAAGGAAGGTCACGACTCCCTGCTACATAACCTAGATTGTGTTCGTGAATGGTCAACAACTAGCCTGCTCCAGTTCAATACAGCGAAGTGCAAGGTGATCCATCCACGTCATGAGCCATTAGACGTTTAAAAATTAGAGACCACACTTTGCAAAAACCCTTTCGGGAGCGTGACCTAACGTACTGATACAGAACTATCTCGGATACTTAAAACAAGCAAAGTAGGCGTCCAGAACCTGTAATCAACACTTTAGCCTTCTTCGCAAAGCGTTCGGTCGGTTTGATCCTTCAATCTTCCCATAAATGCTAAAGGTCCACGTGCGACCCATGTGGAACACACCATCTAGGCTAGGCACGCGTGGCAGAAACGTAAGCTCTTTGCTCACAAGACTCCTCAACGAAGGGCAATCAAGAGCCTTAAGGTCCTCTTCCATTTATCCTACAAGCTTAGATTGAAGTTCCCAGGAATGTACAGCAGTTGATATCGGCGTTTGCATGGAGAGGACCTCACAGTGGTTTACCAGGTCCTGAAGAACCTAAACCGCAGTTGCCGCACTCTGCTGGAACAATACCATAGTACCAACCTACATGAGGACATGCTTTGAAATTAACATACAGTGCAGTCGGCTGGAATGCCGTAGATATGTTTCCCTCCTAGTGTGTCAGTCGTGGGACGTCCTCCCAAATTTCGTCGTCTCTGCCCGCAACCCAATTATATTTAAAAAGATTAAATGATAAAGCATTGTTCCATTCGCAGTTCGTTTATAATTTGTATCAGCCAGAGGGCTACATAAGCCAACCAAATGGTGTGTTTCCAAAATTCCAACTAGTGTATTTATGAGTTTATAAATTTATCACGTGAGGATCTTGGCTCTTTAACGCATGTCTATGGTGAGTCGACCAAAACGCTTTTTGCCTTATCATGAATTTTTAGTTTCACAATAAGTTCCATCCTACGGGACTTGTTAAGCATTGTTAGTTTAGCCGTAATATACCATTGTTCCAGTGTTCCAATTCCAATGCTTAGGTTGCAAATCGAAAAATTGATTTGATGTCTTCATTGTAGGGGTCATTTGGAACCCCAGTTGTGCGAATGAACTGGACTGAGTTGTCAGTGGGATCGTATCCGAAGCAGATGTATGTTGGGTGAAGCCCAATCGTAACAATGCACTCCACAACCAGCTTTTTTATGTAGTTACACTCAGTAGGTGAAGGTAGCAGGACTGACATTTGAGCCCGGGATTTCCAGAATGCCAATCGAAGCCTCAACAATTAACGTCTATCTGTTTCAGTTGTGTTCACAGTGACGGCATTGAATGAAGTTAGCTCCAAGACAAGTCGCCGTACGCATTGACACTACGCATCGCAATGCAATCACAAAACCTGTATTTGAAAAATCATCACTCCAGTCAGCCATTAACCGCTGTGACAAGCGTTGCCCGCTGTGACCGGTTGGCTTAGAGGTAGAGGTTTACAGAGATCGCGTATGGGACCCAAGTTCGAGTTGTAATCCTGGTAACACAACATGTTCAGTGCCGTACAAAACATTGATTTGTTACGATGCGTATGGGTGTATAAGTACTGAACGATTTAGCAGCTGAGGAAAGTTGCTTATATATCCTGTTAATGATAGTTCATTTACCGACCTTGCACCACAGTCACAGGTGGACCGAAGTGGGATGAAATGCATAAATTGGATCTTTGGATGTTGGATGGTCTGCGCAGCTATTACATCTGTGTCAGGAAATTCGGTGGCAATATTGCTTCGAATTTTTGCAGTCAAAAATCTGGATTGGCTAAGTACCATCCCAGCAGTATACACCTATTAAAGTGTTTATGTCCGATAGGGTCTGTCGAAAGAAACGTTGCAGCAACTTCGTAGATAAAAATTACCTGACTATCCAGGTAATCGAAATATGAATGTTTCGCCCGATTCGGTGTTACACTGACCAGTAAACTTAATGTGACAGAGTCGTGATGAATATTCATGAAAACAAAACTGGCGCTTCTTTACCTGAATCCACCGATAAACTATCATTTCAGTTGTTTGTTCCTTTGCTAGTAAGTGGTCTAATCTGTTTGTGTGTAACCAGTTTGACGACATCAACTAAGGTTGAATCACAATGTAGCACTAGACGTTGACTGCTGTTTCCACATACGCTCCCACCGACTGCAGTTTTGATGCTGCCAAGGACATTTTCTACCACGAACTGAACATGCTACTTGGCAGTTTGACCAGTTTACAGATCGTTGTTGTTGCAGGGTATATGAATACACAAGTAGGTCGCCGCAGCAACTCAGCTAGATAGTAAGTATGAAGTTAACGCCGAATGGACGGACAATAGCGAGCGCGTGTTGCAGATTGGCGAGGAGCAACGACAATTTCTTGGTAGCACTGCTTTCAGACACGGTTGGTGCCAAAGTGCCACTTAACGTCCCCCCAGGGACGGACCCAAATAGATCAGGTCGCCACAACTTACAGGCGGCGTGATTCCATCCTGGATTGTCGCTCGTTCTGGAATACCTACGTCGACTATGATCATGCTTTGGGGTACGCTATCGTTTTTCAGGAACTTCATCGGGAGGCGCAGCAAGCACCTGCCTCGATTGACAAATGAGAGACTACCTCAGTCTTTAGTCAAACAAACCTACCAGGATGCCCTGAGTACCAAACGTTCGCTCTCTTGCCCCAAATGACACTAACTCCAGTAGAATATAATCGCTACCGCCATTAAAGATGCGGGAGGCTCTGCTTGCGACACAATCAATGGTCATGGAAGCATGCAAAGAATATGCGATACGTCGGTGTACCGGTTAGAAGCCAGAAGCAAACTCCTGGCTGGTTCTGAGCACTATGTAACCAGGCGGATAAGTAGGTGCGGACTAAAGCGATGCGTGCATGTTGACAAGGAAGCCTGATGGACCAGTAGGGCTCAAGAAAAGGAGAAGACAGGAGCAGAACGCAATTATCGCGAGTTCTTCCAGCTGTTCGGCACCACTGATCCCGAAAACCGAGTGTCGGTGAGACAATCAGAGACAGCACGAATGCGATGATTCACAATAAGCAGCGCCGTATGGTTCGTTGCGCTGAGCATTTTGGAGAGTAGTTCAGTGGTCTCATTGCTCCCGGACCCCATCCCACTCAGATGGTGCAGGCTGAGCCATGGTCGGTTAGTTTAAAGGCTCTGCTGGAGGCTGAGGTACGAAACGCAATCACATCCTTTAATCGTTTTCGGCGTGCTGGTACGAATTTCATCGAGTCCGCACTATGTATGGGTATTGGTGATAGCCTCCCTGATCAAACAGCTCCGGAGGAAAGAAATCATCCCAGCTAACTGCAGCGAACAGATAATAGTGAAAGTATATAAGAATGACAGTCGCACCGACTGTGCTAACCACACGGATATTAGCTTAATTCCAGTGGTGACAAAATTAATACCCATAATTCTCGTTCGTCGCCTCAATCCGCAGCGAGAATGCAGAATTAGGGAAGAGCAAGTAGGTTTCCGCCTAGGTTTGGGTTGTATAGACTATAAATTCACTCTGTACTGGATATTAGAGCAGCGTCACAAGTACCGTAGTTCGAGAATAGCTGTGTTCCTGGACTTCAAGTAGGCGTTCTACTCAGTCGATCAATGCAACCAGTTCGAAATACTTACAGGAAACTGCTTTACGCTGAAGCACCTGGAGTAGGTTTGATGTTCTCGGAAAACCCAAGCCACGTCAGGATCTACCGTGACTTATCAGATAACCTTCATATATCACATACCTTTCCGACCAAAAGTTGCGTCCGTCAGCATTGTCCAATTTCCCAATTGCCGCCGCTGTTCCAAGCCTGCAGAGACGTGAGCCGCTCAATTGCAGCTGGGAAATCCTGTAGATGACCCGAAAGACACGATTAACTTCTATCTGATGCTCATTGTTGACAAGGTGATCCAGAATGAAGCTGGTAATAACCACAGTGCCAGTTTGACGTAAGCAAGCATGGAACAGCCAAGGCAGTCGGTATTCGGTTGCTTTAACCTCTGCTATGTTTCCGAAGGAAACCAATCTAGACTCTGCAGATGCGTTGGCCAGCGAAAGGGGAAGAAGTTGGAACCAGTTGCGTTGGATGGAAGACGCGATTGATCTAGCGAAGATTGCCCGTTGGTTCACGAACGTGGTGGGCCCATGATTTGTTGCATTTAACATATACTGATCAACTTTACCCCCACTGCAATTTTCTTAATGTGCTTTTATTGGTCTGACGATGGCTTTCTGAAAACAACTGTTCAACCCTGGCGCCACGTTATTGATGCTAAATGGGGATTTTCAACTTCTTTCCCATTTTCGTTCACTTTCGTTGTGGACACCATTATGGAGTGTTTCCATACGGAATCCCACGATGTAGGCGTAGAGATCCTGTCTGGGGAAAGGTTAGTCGATCTTGATTATGCGGACTATATCGTCTTGCTTTTTGACAACGTTGCGGCTGCAAAACCAACCCTGAATAGTCTCTCTAGTGTGATTCCATTATTTGGTATGCTCTTTGCACCTTAAAAGTGCGCTGCTATTGCAGGGGCACCAGTCACTTGATGACGACTTGACTCTTGATAACGGGGAACTCTAGGTAGTTTATCAACTCACTTAACTTGGCAGCTGCATCAACAACGATAGACGCACAAGCACTGAAGTAAGTTTATGCATTACAGAACCCAGAGCTGACTTCTGAACCTGCGACATCTGTGGCATCGGAAAGGGATTTCACTCGGTTCGAAAGGCCTCGTTTACAAAGGTACAGTGATGGCCGTCCTAATATATGAGAGTGAGACTTGATCCCTTCGATCCAAGGATCTGAGGCGCCTTGGAGTCTTTGGTCATTGCAGTTTACAAAGCTTTGTTGGCATTTGACGGTCCTAACGTGTACGTAATAATGATTTTGGTAATCAAGTGATAGGCCATGATAATCAAGCGAGTTCCTTAGAACAGCACGTAGTAGTGAATAAGTTACGTTGGCTTGGGCACGTATTACCTATGACTGGTCACAGCTTTCCGAGGAGGGCCTTGTTTGGTCTGCCAGAGTTATGGTGGCTGAGAATTCGAGGTAGGCAAGCAATAAAAGAAAGCAGGAAAGGAAAATACTGACTTAAAAACAAGATACTGTTGGTCCGCCTCGCCTTATAGGCAATCTGTGTGTGGCTCGATACGCAGCAGGAAGTGGTTCGCAGTCCGCACCGGTGTCTCGTTTGCAATCGTGTGGCAGCCGGACTAGCTGTTTAAAACACGTTTGATGTTGAGCTATCTGCGAGGTAATGCCTGATTATGACAAGGACAGTGAAAGCTGCAAGGAAGCTGTCTCGCTGATGCCGTCTTATTTTGCGTGATAGATTGTTTGAAACCGTATATCGCTAACAAGTTGTATGCATTTTGACCCCGAGTGTTTGTTTAGGGCATTAACATTTTATGCTATATCCCCACCCCTTCCCCTTACATATTTTCGTTTCAAGGGTCAGCGTAGTTGTACGACGGCGAAGCATTAGTTCAAATGGTTGATGTAATGCTGTTGAAGAGGATGGTGAGTAGGTAATCAAGTGGTTCAGGTGAAAGCTTGTAATGTGGAAGCTATTGGTTCGCCCCTGCATAGGTGCGGTCGACTTCGCGGCATAGCTAATTTGCACGCGGCTGGTGGTATGCTTGTGGAAGTGAGGCGTCGGCACGAAATCATGTGTGAGATTTAATTCTTTCATACAAATTGTTTGCACGCATATGCTTATGCAATTATAGCAGTTCGTAGTTATCTATTCCAGTTAATTAACGTACCTTTGCGTAGCCTGAATGGACTGACTGAGCCTTGCTCGTTAGCCAGCACATGCACTTGGTAACCTGGGCACTGAGCACATCCCATTCTTTTTGGATGGTTTGCTTGAACTTTTCAGCTATTTCAATAGGTTCTTGGATCTCCTGAAAGGCATGAAATTCCCATCTAGATCGGCATGTAATATGTTTATTTAATCTTTAAGGACAGTTGATATGGAAGCAGGAGATTTCCGTTAGTAGGCAGCTATACATTGGCAGCGATTTACAAGCCTGAAGAAGAAAGATTATCAACTAAGTGCAAAACGAATGGCATAGCAGATAGAATTTCAAGAGCAGACTATAGCATTTTTTGGATGCGATGGAGTGTTGTGAAGAGTCAAGTTAGGCAAACGGGCGGAGAATTAATAGTCGGTATGTCAACTTCATCACTGAGTCGTTTAGCATAATTTCGACTCTAGTGTGGGAGTAGCAGACGTCGATTGAAAATCAGATGGGCACGAGCAAACAGCTGCACGAATCAAAACTCAAAAGACCACCATATCTTTGATTCTGACACAAAAAGTCAAAACTAATTATGTCGTATTGTCTTACGGGAGTTCAAATGCATCTACACCAAGGGATGTCTCATAGTGTGCTAATAACGAAAGAAAGAAAGGCATCAGCAATAAGACCGTACGAATTACAGAAGCTTCGCTGCCGCATAACCATCACTAGTCGCGCGTGAGCCAGGTATACTGCGACGGTCGCCCAATTTCGAAGCAGGCTCGAACCCGCGACCTCGCATTACAAGGCGGGCTTGTGACACTTACAGTCACGGGCCGTGCTACTAAAGTGATAGATCACAACGCGATAACACGGTACGAATATCTTGATAGTTAAGTTATACGGCTAACAAGATTAATCGATTTTCTCGGACGCAACACAGTCTGCTGACTAATTACAGAACACTAGGTCATTATGCAGTAACATAAATAGTAAAATGTTTCCACCGCCTAAACAGTTGGCGCGACTTGCGACCTTTCAATCTGGAGTCAAGCAGTTCATCTCGTGGCTTTTTATATTTGATAGGACTTCTGATATGAGATATTAGCCGAGATCCGATATCCGGTCCTATCGACTGTGAAACGTTTGATGTTACGCGGTCGGGATTCCCGGTCCACTGAGGTCCTACGTCCGTTCTTCAATTGCCGATTGGAGCTCAGTCTACATGAAGGATGTATCATGCGTGGATTTCGTATTGCTATTCCGTCTGCTCTCAGATCAGCCGTATGGAGAGAATTACATGATGCTTATCCAGGAGTCGTCCGCATGAAAGCTCTGGCCAGTGACTACTGTTGATTGCCGGCAATTGATCGAGGTATTGAAGCTCTGTTGAACGCATGTGCTATGTGCCAACAATATCGGAAAGACAAACCAACCGTTCCGATTCACCCCTGGGAGCGTGTTCACGCAGACCATTCCGGTCCGATTGAAGGAAAAGTGCTACTGCTCCTGGTGGATGGGTACTCAAACTGGATAGATATACATATTGCTCCTAACGCTACTTCGGAGACTGTAATTAATAAAGTGCGCACTAGCCTAGTTACATTTGGTATGCCAAAAACTTTAGTTATAGATAACGGTTCACAATTTACGAGTGCAGCTTTCGAACAGTATCTACAGAGTAACGGCATCCACCATATGACTTCCACACCAAAAGCGTTGAAATTGGCTGCAGTAAACCTGGCAGATCCACTCTGCAAGTTCTTCCAACGATGCCTCGATGAGATGCGCGTGCCAACAATGTGGAAGCAAGGCATCGTCACTCCCATCCATAAGGGGGGAAGTCGTACAGATCCGGCCAACTATCGCCCGATAACACTACTTCCGGTGCTCTCCAAAATCATGGAAGCGATTGTCGCCGAAGCTCTGATGAACTTCTTGGAAGAACGAAATATCATAGCACAAGAGCAACATGGGTTTCGCAAGAACCGATCTTGCACTTCAAACTTGCTGCTTGCCAGATCTAGTTGGACTGAGACCGTTGACAGCGGCATAGGTGTTGACGCAGTATATCTGGATATCTCAAAGGCTTTCGACTGTCTGAACCACCGTAACCTCCTTCACAAGCTGCAGTGTTGTGGAATTGGTGACCCAATCCTCGGTTAGACAGCTAACTTCTTGCTTCAACGACATCTGAATGTAAGAGTTCGCGGTGTCATCTATGACCCAATCGACGTTAAGTGCGGAGTGCCCCAGGGCTCAGTACTTGGTTCACGATTATTCCTGATTTACATAAACGATCTCACGACAGTAATCAACTCCAACTCCTTACTCTTCGCTGATGATCTCAAGATATGGCGAGCCATTAGAACAACCAGCGACAATGCAGCACTTCAGGATGATCTGGACAGGGTCTACGAATGGTCGACTCAGAACCTGCTTCAGTTCAGTGCTACAAAGTGCGAGGAGTTGAGCATACGCTAAAAGCAACTTGCGAATACAGACTGGGGGACCAAACATTGCAGCGCACTACAACGGAATGCGATCTAGGCGTGATAGTGCAGGAAGATCTGGGATGTTCCCGTCAGGCCGAGAAAGCCTCCAAAAAAGCTAACCAAAACCTTAGCCTTTTGCGGAGGGCATTCGGGCACTTCGATCCTTCCATCTTTTCCCAGATGCTGAACGCCTACATTCGGCCTCATTCTGAGTACGCCATCCACGCCTGGCAGCCATGGCGAAAGCAAGACCTTACCGCTCTTGAACTGCCACAACGAAGGGCGACCAAGAACGTAAAGGGCCTGTTTCATCTCCCTTACCGATTGAGGCTGAAAACCCTCGGGGTCTACAGTGGACAATATCGACGCCTGCGTGGCGACTTGATAATGACTTATATGATCCTGAGGAATCCAAACCATTGTTGTCGTCACCTACTTAAGCTGAACATCAATACAACACTCAGAGGACACCATCTAAAGCTGGCCACACAATACAGCCGGTTGGAATGTCGCCGGAATTTCTTTTCCCTTCGTGTGTGCCAACACTGGAACGCTCTTCCCACATACGTTGTTTCTTCCCCCACGGCTATCGCTATTTAAAAGACGTCTGGATGATTCGCTTATCCACCTACATTACGCTATATAATCAGAGATGTCCACGTTGAACAAACACGGAAAAAAACGGTGCTCATTCTCAGCTTTTGTGCTTCACTGTTTACACATTGTTGTTGTGGAATATAGTATTGGATATATTACAACTGCATTCATCAATTTACCCCAGTTCAAGAAAGTGGCGCACGAGTTAAATTTAACAATACTAAAAATAAAAAATAAATTAAAAAAGTTCAATAAATTAGTAAAATTTATATAACATATTAGTTGTA